CGTCGCCATGGCAGACGGAACTTGTTTGTCTTATAGGCGTACACTCCCACAGATAGCAGCCCGGATTCAGTCAAAGATGAATTTTAGCACAATCTACACGACCTTCTACATTGAGCTACATCGGCTAATAAAGTGATTTTGGCAGGAGATATGAATGCTAGATTAGACTGGTTGACTTTGAGTGATGCGCACTTGGGAGAACCTTGTGGTCTATATTCCTGTCGCTCGTAAAACGGAGAGCGATTGTTGGCTTTGTGTTTCAACCACCGCCTGTTCCTCGCCAGTAGAACCTTCAGACTCTCCAACTGCCGGTACACCACTTGTCGTCTGTCGTCCTCGAGTCAGAGACGGACGCAGGCCGATCACATCGCAATAAGCCACAAATGACAGGGCAGCATTCAAAACTGTCGATCGTACTGCAGCACTCTCCTCAAATCCGACCACGCATCAATATAATTCAAATTATCCGTGTGCTTCGGTGGACGTCCCAAATGCACGAAACAATGACGGTTATACTGTGTTGAGCTGTCCAAACCAACTTGTTTAGCTATCCTTCAAAACACGCTAGCTGCAAAGTTAGTACCAGCCCCACCCGATAACGTTAACCAGCACTGGTTGCTTATCAGAAATGCTCTGCATTCTGCTGGTTCCTTCAGTTTTGGCCTGAAACATCGCGCCGTGACACTGTGGATCGCTATTAAGTCTCTACACATTGTTGACGCACGCGGGTCTATCCCAACCGGCAGTGAGCATAATGAAACAAGGCTCGTAACGAATCTTGAACCTAATGCAAGCCTATGCGGAGACCGCGAAATCTGGTGTACACAAAGCGCGACAGAGATGGAACGTGCTATCACCATGGATAATTCCCGTAAGCTCTTCCATCTCATCCGGGTCAACGGCAGGAAAACCTTGGGTGTGAGCGAAGCGATCTGCGACGGCTGACGATTCTCCCATTCATAGTCAATATCGACGGTTTGCAAGCTGGGCGGAGCACTTCAAAGCACAATTTAGGTGGCCTCCAGCGTCAGCTTATCACACAGGTATTCCAGCACACGTCCCATGGTGTTTCTCACCAGACCCATCTTCTGAGGCGAAAATCCATAAGAAGATCTAAGCCTTTGAACGTCACAAAACCCTGGGCTCCGATGGACTTTCCCCAGCCTTATTTGAAGGTAGCGGACTTAAGCGTGTTAGAGAACTACAAGTTCTGTTCTCTAAAAATTGTAACACTGAGCAATTCCTCTCCTCAAGAGGGGGGGGGGCGATCGTCATCCTCGTCTTCAGAAAGGACCCGCGAAATGACTGCACCAATCATAGGGTATAAACCCAACCAGGATCGCGTCAAAGCTGTTGGTGTCCGTCATTCTCCGCTGAATGTACACTACACGTGAGAAGCAGACCCGCGAGCAGCGGGCTGCGTTTCGTGCCGGTCGTGGATGCATCGATCAAATATTCACCCTCCAATAGCTGGCAGAGCACCGTCATGCCTACCAAAGACCAACGATCATTGTATTCCTAGACATCCTTGCGGCCTTCGATTCTACCGATAGGACCGCACTGTGGAGCTGTTTGTTAAGGAATGGGGTACCTGAGAGGTATGTGCCGATCGTCAAAGAGTTGTATCGTGATACCCCAGGTCGGAGCTTCTGGNGCTGCCCTTTAGCTCCATTCCTTTCAACGTCGCTATAGAGGATGTTCCAAGGAATGCTTTGTCAGGTACAGCAAACGGTGCAGTTGAACTCCTCCCAGGGAACAGAGTTTTTGACTTGGAATATGCCGATGACATCGCCTTGCTGGGTGACAACAAAGACAGTCTAAAACACCTTCAACCGCTTGGCGATGGAGGTATCCAGGTATGGTATGAGCGTTGCTAACCAACTTTTAGTATTTGAACAGCGATGTCCCCGAACCATTGCTCGTGTCTAGTGGGAACACCGGGTGAGTAATTACGAGGTTCGTCGTTGTGTGTTGGGTCCGAATTGTCGTTCAATAAAGGAAGTTATCGGTGTAAACCGTCTCCGATGGCTTGGTCACGTATTGCGTATGCCTGCCCATCGACTATCTTTCCGTGGTCTCTTCACACGTGCCAGGGAAGGCTGGATGAAGCGGTGCGGCGGTCAGATCATGACATGGGCTAGAGGCATAAAGAAGCCGGCTTCAGCTTTGACTTCGGTTGGTGCAGTTCGCCTTACAGGTTGGGGCTCGAGGGATGAGGATTGTCGTTGATTAGAGGCGCTGAGAGATATGGCTCAGAACAGACGACAGTGGCGCGAATGCTCTATGGTCTGTCTGTCTTCATCCTGTGCCCTGTAAAACCAAAAAACAAGGAATATCAAAAAGCGTATGGTGAAACACAAAAACATTTTGTTATCCCAGTTTATGTTTTCTCGTATTTAACTGTTTCACCCTCTTTTCACTTTACTCTGTACCCCAATCCGCCTATACCCGATTATTGTTATTTGTATTAATGTTATTGCGCTGGCACCATGCCTATTCACAAACCGGTGTAAAATACATATGTATATACATTGGCCAGTGACGGGAAATCAGAAGCGCGTTGACCATCAGGTGCAACAAACCAGTTTATTTCGAGCTCACCGATTGAGGTGAGTGCGGATTCCAACACGACTAGTTTAGAGACAACAACGACAAAGCCAAATGATGCAGCAACAGAACCGACCACAAAACCTAGAATGACATATAGACGAACCATCAGAGGATACGTCGCAGAAGGACACAGTCACACAACCAGATTCAAAGGAACCAGCAGCAACCGGTCAACCAAAACAAGCATCGGGGAACAGCTAAACGCCAAAGTAGAAAATAATGAGCCAAGTAAACAATGAAAGGTAGAAAAAGCTGCTTACGACCCTACGCTTTTGAGGAAAGTCAG